TGCTTGCTTTATTCAGCCAGGTGGTTGCAGTGGCGCCACCATCCCAGAGGAAGTGACATCCAGCCATTTCAAACACAGGCAAAATCCGGCCTAGTGCTCAGAAGGGATTTTTAAGTAGCTGCTACATACCTGTTCTGGGTGAGTCTCCCCTCTTTTTTTATTGTGAAGTTGAAGATACGAGTCTGTTTTTGGAGTAGGTAATCCCAAAGTTAGCTTGTTTTTTTCCACAAAATACTGTTTGGATTTCCTTCGCCGAGGGCCGCGGGGTGGCAGGAACACCTCATTATGTGAACTTGAACTCTTCAAGTGCTGAGAGAGGTTGCTGGACTTCTCCTCCGGGTCACTGCAGCTCGGCTCGGAAAACCACTCACTGTGATGGGTGCCATGCTCATAGTTTGGGCTTAAAAATTCACTCCCAAGTAAGGAGGCTGCGCTCTGTGGGCTCTTCTTCTGTTCGCCGTTTTCCCCCAGGAGTTCCACGGACGCCTCCTTGGAAGGGTAAAGTGGATCCAAGGTCAGATTTTCCGTAGAGCTGTCCAGAGACTCCGGCAGTGCGTCCACGGACAACAGCTGCCCCTCCTCTTTCTTACTCTTCCAGTTCGGGTCATATCGGAGGTCTGAATATTTGTCTTCTGTGGGTTCTTGGCTGCCCAAAGCAGAAAAGAAATGTCAAGTGTCTGTGATCCAAATATATGTACTCATTCTCTCTAGCTGATAATCTTATTTGAAATCAATCTCAATCTTCCTCCTACGATTTTCCTTTTACTATCTGACACGTTAAAGACACATCCCAGGCTCAGATTAGACCTACACACGACACATGAGGGCAAAAAGTCTTAATTATTTAATTTCATTGAAACACGGAAAACACATGAGGACAGTTACTTTCCAAATGCCAGGAAACAGCTGAAAAACCAATGTCCGTAATGTTAAACTAATGAATCACCATGGTTCAAGGATAAGTTGTGTAAGTAATAAGCTGGTGAAGATAAAAAGCCGATCTCACACTTAGCTGGTGATATACACATTTAGTCCTTTATCCAGGAGGGGAAATTTGACAGTTGCCTGGACAACATCTTGATCTGCTCCTTTTGTGGGAGGAAAGCAAGATTTAGCGACTGAATACCTACAGAGGTTCATCCTCCTTTATCAGTGGTTCTGTCATCTCGTTTAGTCTTTGTAGATTTTTATCAAATGTGTTACAGAAAGATCCCTCATATTCGGAATCAGGTGCTCACTGAAAGCTCTTACTTCGTACTCTCTTGGCCGCCAGGTCTATGCACACAAAACTCGGTAGACAGGTCAGTGTTCGCTTTAAGCTGTAGGACAGCCCCATCTGAATAAAAGGTTAAACGTAGGGTCCTGCCTGAGGGGAGTGAACTGGTCCATAATCAGGGCATATGACCCCAAATAAAGTCCTCCCTTTTCCCCATGATGATCTCAATTTGTAAAGCACCTCCTAGTCAACCAAAAAAGGAAAAAAAATGCTGGTAATATGGCATATTTAATGGCCCCTTTGATCTTCAAAAGCCAAATGGGAGAGATTTTCCTTCCTTGAGTACAGAAGACGCAATCCTCTAATCAAAAAGAAAATGTAAATCATCCAGGCTTTTTATGCTATTTGATATTCCCGTTTACAGAGGACATAATTTTATGCTGGGTAAACAAACTAATGGTGCCCCTAATGCTAATTTAGGCTTCTTAATGTGGACTGAAATTTCTTTGATTTGATGTAAAGCAAAAACTAGAGCAGAAAGCCCGAACTCCCATGTCTTGCTAAATTGCCACTTTGAATTTTTAGTTTACATATTAAGATGGAAAACTTCTTGGAATAGGCTGCTCTTCCTTTTCCAAGGAAAGAGAAATGGTATTCTCCTGCAGCAAAGTGCCCGAACGGAGATGGTCCATGTTCGTCAGGAAATCAGCATCAAACGGGGCAGTTCGCCACTCCTGAAGCTTCACAGGGCTGCCTGCCTGCGGGGCTCGAGGTTTCTCCAGTGTGATGTCCCCTCATCACGTGAACTTACACGAGTTTTCAGCCCTGCCTTTCACTTGGCTCCAAGGCTCACCGGGCAGGGAGTGTGCAGGGCAGGGAGTGGTCCAGCAGGGCACAATCTGGACGTGGCGACTGGACAGACCTGGGCTCAAGTTCTGGGTCTGTCACTACCTGTGTATTGGCCGGCAAATCATGTCATATCTGAGCCAGTTTCTCTCATCTGTAAGTAGGGATTGATTATATTTGTTCTGTTAAATTTCTCAGGATTGCATAAAATCAAAATGAGACAATATATCTTAATTAGTGTTCTGGTTTTGTGCTTATTTCACTTTTCACTATGGCAACCTTGTCCCCTCACCTAGTTAAGGTCCTGGGACTGAGGGTTCTACCTCCTTCCCTAACCCCTGCCCTGTGCCATGGACAGAAGAGGCCATACGTGTCACCTGAATCTATAATAAGCATCAGATATTTTTTTTTTAAAAAACCCAGCAGTAGTAAATTAGATTCTAAACATGCAGAAAAGCTTCCTGCATTGGACCAAATCAGTGACTGATTTTAGGGCTGATCTTGTGCTGAGTGAAGTATAAGGGTCAGCTGTGGTTGTTGGGACTGGGAAGAAAAGATGATAGTCAATCTTCAAGTAAATAAAGATATAAAGATTTTCTGAAATGAAGAAAGGTGCTGTTTCTCCACATCTATGATATACTGAAAGGAAAAGATGAATTTAACTCTCCTCACCTGTCCATGCATTTGATTCGATAGAACTGAGCTCTCCTCATTCACTTGCTCATTCATTGACTCTACAGATATTTATTGAACATGATTTACAGTTGGAGTGTGATGAGTGCCCTGAGGAGGAGGATGGGGCCACGGGGACTCAGAAGGGACACCAGTCCCATCTTGGGAGAAGGGAAAGCTTTATGAAGGAAGTGATGGCTTAGCTGAGACGGGAGGCTAAGAAGGGCAGGCAGTGTAAGCCAGGCTGAGGACACAACGCCTAAAAAGAGACTGAAGGGAGAGAGAACATAGGGTTTTCAAAGAACAGATTCCGCATGGATAAAATAGAGGGTGGGAGGAGGGAAGGCTGAGGAGGAGAGCTCAGGGTTAAGCAGAGATGAGACCTGAAAGGGCTTTGTAAACTCTTCAAAGGGTTTGGCTTAACTACCTTAACTCAAGAGTTTGGATTTAATTCAGCAATAATCATTTAATCAGAGCACAAAGATAGTAAGACACAAATACTTTTGGATGACAAGGTGATGAGTTTTCGGAATGGATTATCTATGAAGCTATATGGTTTTCTCTCATCTATTTAAAGCAGGAGGGTTGGCAACCTTTAAAAGTGACGTGTCACGTGGGGGCCTGCCGTCCTGCTACTTCTCTGGGCTGTGTTGTAGAGTGACGGCTTTGGGAAGAAGGCATCTGTCACTGCGTGCGCATCTAGGGAACGCTCACAGTGCATATCTAGTTTTTCTCGTAGAATAACGCTATGGGGCAGTACTGCTATTATCCCCATTTAATAGAGGAGGAAACTGAGGCTTGGAGAGCTTATGTAACTCTTCCAAGGTCACAGAACCAGCAAACGGTGGAGCCAGGACATAGACCCAGTTTGCCCCGGGCCTGGCTCCTGTCCGGTGACTCGCCCTGTATCACACAGCCAGTCCCACGGGAGGGAGTGAAGCAAGCACTTGCTGCAGGGCCTACCTTGTGGGAGTTAGTGAACTGGTCAGTCGGTCAGTCGGGCAGCCAGTCAACAAACGTGTAACACGTGGCTCCCTAGGTCCCAGGTAGAGGAACAAAACAGAAGCAGGCAGATGGATCTGGCCAGCTAGTGAGGCAGACAGGCGGATGGATCTTATGCACAAACGGCCACAATCAAGTAATAAACTAGATGTGGCAAGAAATATAGACTCTTATTTAAAATAGGACAGGCCTTGTTTAGCAATGAAAATATGTTAAACTCTTATTTCCAGATCCAGTTGCTGGATGATTATCTCAAAGTCCATTCCATCTCTCTTGTCCTCTGCTCCCGTGATGAACTCACGAAAGAGTCAGTAAGCGAGGAATGCCCACTATTTTTAACAAACAAGTCGTCCTGGATGATGGAAGGAGAAGGATTCCCTTACTCGTATCTCTGCAGTGGTAACTAAGAAAACTGGCGCTCAGGCTGGTCATCCAGCTTAACTGGCATCACCTGATAATGGTGTAACGTCTACAGCCACAGCCACAGCCTCCCCGTGGTCACGTGCAATAAGTGGTATGGAGTGTTTTGGTCCTGAGAAATGGTACAGCAAAAAGTTTAAGGACAAGGGTCATGGAATCAGACTGCCTGCACTGAATTCCTGGTGCCACCAGTTACTGTGTGAGTGTGGGCAAGTTACTGTACTTCTCTGTGTCTCAGCTTCATCAATAAAATGGGGATAATAATAGTACCTACCTAAAAAAATAATAGTACCCACCTCATAGTGTTGTTGGAGTATTAAGCAAATTTATATACATATGTATGTTTAGAGCTATGTTCTTGGAGCAGAGTAAGGAAGGTTCTAGCAAGGGCCAGCTATATGAAAGCGCATGCCAACGAGCCCCGTCACTGGCCTCTGCTTGCTGTTGCATTCTGTTGCCATGACACAGCGCTGGTGTGTACGGGGCTTCCTGCTGGTGGATCTCAAGGGATGCCGCACTCCCTAGGGTGTAAGTTATTTAGGACGCAAAGCTGTCTTGTGATACACTAAGTGGCACCTTAGTGGCCACAAAGAATGAACACTGATCTTTCAAAATCCAATTTTCCACCATGACCTAGGCAGCATGGAGAATCTGTTTGAACTCTAATTTAGGAAATGGGATTAAGAAATGTCAGTGTTTCCACATGATGAGATATTTTAAGAACTGCCGAAAAATGGTGAGGAAGATGAAACTGGGAGAATTAAATGACTTTATACTTCAGAAAGAGCTGTAATTTCTAGCCTCAGCAAATGTCTACTCTTCGATGCCCACAGAACCAACATCACATGCCCTGGAAAAGACTGACGTTTTAAGTGGAATCTAGAAGATACACATGGTTTTGAAACAAATGGGACAGAATGAGTTGCTTTGGCTGAGATAAATTTTTTTTGAACCAATTGTTTGAGGAGATAGTGTAATAATGTATACATACAAGATTAGAATCAGAAAGTGCGGCTCTAGAAAGAACTTTAATTACACTGTGCCATGTACACCTGCAATGACTGTCTTAAAACACCCCCCTGCTCCCCTTTCTAGTTGGAAACCATATGTTGAGACAAATGGGAGGTTATGTTTTGCAAAATCATGAGCATGGAAAGCTGTACTACTTCAGAGAAACAAATCTAATGGTTGAAACAGAACATGATACTAAAGCACCCCATTGTACTGAGCTTGGGTGCTGAGCGGCTCAATTGTGTTGCGTGGTCCAGGTCAACACACTGAGTATGAAGTGCTCCTTCATCCCTGATCATCCGCACACAAAACATGCACCTCGTTTCCTCCCCATTTGATAGAAAGGTTACCCCGACTGTGAGTACACAACTCTTTTGTTACCATTCAGACAACAGCTGCCAGGTCTCCCCTTCAGATGCCCAGGTTAGGGATGGATGCAGGGAGGAAGGGGAGGGTGGTCTCATAGGCAATTGCCATTG